CTAGCCTTCATTCTGTCTCGAATGATTGAGCGAACCGCTAACTACGAGAACGACAACAGATTGTTAAAATTTGAATATTCAACAGCTAAGTTAAAAAGTTCTAGCCTTTTAACTCTTTACGGTGGCCAATTTACAATCTCAACTTAGTTGATGTTACCAAATTACCTTGTTACCCCCACCGACGCAGTACTACAGTTTCTTTATTAGAAACTTACCCCTTTCATTGAAAATATTCACATATCGGTTTAAAAGGTGAAGAGTTCGTACCACATACCAAAGCTGTCTTTTTTTTTTCAACTATACGAAGGCTTGAAATTCTATTTGAGAACGATTGTGGCCGCTTTTTTAAAACCGAATTCAGGGATCACTTTGTTAAAAACAAAATATGCGAGGTAACGGGTAAGGAATATCGAAATAGTGCAAATGATCACGAAAGTGATTGCCGAAAGGCGATTGCGTGACACTCGGTAAGTTCAAGATGACATATGTTATCATGTATCAGACGAAATAACAGTTTTCAATAATTCCAGTCTGCATTCTGTACCTAGTCTGCATTTCGTACCCGGTTTGCAGTCTGTATTTTGTACTGACCTATAGCTAAAATGTGGATTCTGACCATTCACCCAACATCACCCCAGCAGTTCAAAGTACGTAGTTACTAAAAGTTGGAATCACCTGAAACCACCTGAAACCACCTGAAACCACCTGAAACCATCTGAAACCCCCATGGAAACCATCTGAAATTACCTGAAACCACCCAAGAAGCCATCTAAACCCACGGGAATTAAACATTATCGCAAATCGGTATCTTAATTTTCAGCATGACGCAAAGCTTCTGATAANATGTCTGCGTGCTTTCATGTAATTTTCAGGTAGTTTCAGATGGTTTCAGGTGGTTTCATTGGTGGTTTCAGATGGTTTCAGATGGTTTCAGGTGGTTTCAGGTGGTTTCAGGTGATTCCAACTTTTAGTAACTACCGTTCAAAGTAATGCCAAGTAGTTTCAACTGTATCCGGGAGTTACTTATTAGAATTTAATTATCTTCAAAACTCATTCAAACGTAATGTATCCACGACTTATTCACAGTTTCCTTTGATTTTTTCTTGTTTCGTTTTTTTTTTTTTTACTCACGCAACGGACTTTGCCGAAAAGTAGGGACCAATCGTAGTCAGGAACTCCATTTACGCAATAATTTTACCCTCAGCCTCCCCTCCAGGCTGTTTGGTTCTGCAAGGGATCGGAGAGAAGACTGGACTAAATAAAGGTCGTGGGAGCACGATGTCGAGCCCAGGGAAGGAACGCCATCCTTTGGCATGAGACTTTGTGAGAAAACGGCCCTTCAGCATCACATGGGTTTTAAATCACATAGATCTTCATATGGTTCCTTCCTCAGAATATCATGGGAATGGTCACAACGGCTTAAAAACCCCAAAATCGCGAATGTTGATGTCTACACGCTCACCGCTGAACAACGAAACATCTGAAAGTCGCTCAGGCACAAGGTTGTTCTGCTTTTCTTTTTCATTTGAATTCTTAAGCCGTTTTTCGCGTTGAATTTATTTTCACGCGTGAAAAGGAATTGTTGAATTCGTTTTAAATTATTTCAACACCTGAACGCGGGAAATTTAAATATTTTCCTGAGAGCACTGCACTTAATGGCTCCATCTGCTGCAGACAGAGTAGATAGCTGTACGTAACAGTTGCATATTCATAATACTGACGCCATGTTGGATCCTCAATCTCTTCCACGTGGTTTTAATGTGTTTTTGTTAACAAACAATAAGTCAGCAATTACATAACTGTGAATAATGGCCAGCGGTATTGCCATACATAACAGTAACTAGTGTAGAATCTGCAAATTTAACAATTGGTTAATGCTTAGATATACATGTACTGGCTGGAAATTGGTAAGGTTCTTTTCTTACGTTTTTATGGATAGAGGCCAAGTCAAGGTCCATAAAACCGCAAAGACACTGATTAATATCCAACCGTCTTGACCAAACAAGCTTGGTCGATAGAGGATTTTTTATACAATAAAGACTTTGCTTTAATAAGAATAAAGAACGACTTGTTTATTTTGAGGATCGGGAAAGATGGCCAACTGTATTTGTAGCACAATAAACCCAGGAGGGTCATTTATGTTTTCTTTGTTTTGACTGTCTTCTGCAGCTTTTTGGAACTTCATCATTGACATTGTTTAAAAGTTTTGATCTTTGTAAGTTTGCCCTATGCTTTTTCTTTTTCTTGCGCAAGATCAAAGCAGGTAATCCAGAGTGGCAAGATGGGCCTATCTCAGTTGTCTGCTCAGTTAGCCAATCAGAACTCAGGATTTGCTTCATGTTGCATTATTGACCTAGCATGAGGTCTAGGTGGCTGGATACTGGCCATGTTCTCTTTTTTTTGCCTTTTTATGGCAGAGATAAAGTCAACCTCCATATAGAGGCCAATATCCAGCCATCTTGACCGAACAAGCTTGGGCAATAAAGGATCTATTATACATGTATAGCAAAAAAGATTTCTTATTGTTGAGAATCGAGAATGACTTGTTTATTTTGAGAGCCATGGATGATGATTGATTAAAGAAAAGGAAAAGTTTTAAAGAGTTGGACTAAATTGTTGTGATATTAAAGAATAGGCTGTCATGTATGTTATGTTACAGATGGCTCATGTAGAGAGAAAATTAAGTGGATTTCAGCCCCAAGTACAAGCAGTTGAAGCAGTCTGCAGGTAGGCTTACATGATAATGATAGGCAATGCTTTAACTAAGCATATCCAGTTAATGAATCAATACAATTCTTTTGATACTTACCATTATTTATTTATTTTGATGCTACTCTTGATATAAGGTAAACATAGGTGTATGTGTGAGGTGGGGTGGCCTCATGGTTAGTGCCCTTGCCTCTGGATTGAGTGGTCTGGGGTCGAGCCTTGGAAGGGGACATTGTGTTGCATTCTTAGACAAGACACGTTACTCTCACAATGCCTCTCTTCACCCAGATGTTAAAATGGGTACTGGCAAATTTAGTGCTGGGATAACCCTGCAGTAGACAAGAATCCCACCCACGGGGGAGTAGAAATACTCCTAGAAATCAAGAAATGCTACAGAAACTAGAGTTAGGTGCCCACCTGATGGGCCACTTGGTGCATAAACAGACTTCACCTTTACCTTAAACACAGGTGTATAAGCCATACCATTTTTACCAAAATGTTCTTAACAAATCTGGGGTGTGGCTTATCTGTGATAGCATTCATTAGGGAAGGTGCCCAAAACAAAAGAGATGCACCAGCTCCAAGCATGAAATTCACAAAATAATTATGAAAACATAGACAAAAGATATCATGTGCAATTAGCTGAACAACCAGTGGGTAAATAATTTCTTTAACATCTTTATTCTTTTCTCAAAAGTTAACAAAAAGTAGTAGGAAAAGGGGGTTTCTGGCACATTTTTTTTTTTTCAAAAATACCCTGAAAAACAGAGCAATTTTGAAAACTGATTTTTTTCATTTTTTATCTCATTTAAAAAAAAGAACGATGTTTTTCAGGCAAAATGATTGACGCATTTTTTTCTTTTAAAAATCAAAGCAAAATTGAAAAATAATTTGAGATTTGATTCAATGGGTTTCTGGCACATTTACAAAAATACCCTGAAAAACAGGGCAATTTTGAAAACTGATTTTTTTTCATTTCTTATCTCATTTAATAAAAAACCATGTTTTTGGCACATTTTTTCTTTCAAAAATCAAAGCAAAATTGAAGATTTGATTCTGTGGGTTTCTAGCACAATTGCCTGAAAAACAGGGCAATTTTGAAAACTGATTTTAATTTTTTATCTCATTTAAAAATGAACAACGATGTTTTCAAGGCAAAATGATTGGCGCATTTTCTTTAAAAAAAAAACAAAGAAAAATTGAAGAATTTTGAGATTTGATTCTCAAGACAATCTCAAAATTCGTTTGAACCATCAGAAAAAACTAATGGCAATATCTCAGAAAAAACACATGATCCCGTTATTAATAGGTCACACTTTCAAGCTCTCTGTTGACGATGTTGAGCTGAGCATCAGAAAGAATGAAGATGTGACGTTTAATATTTCCTGAACCCGATCCTTTCCTGTTAATTGCAAGATGAACTCCATCTTTTGTATTCACCAATCTCAATCCTGAACCATGAAGATCATTGTCTCTCATGCTTCTAAGATCGATAAAGAGACCGAACCTGTCTCCAGCATAAAAGTCTGTTGCATTCATCGCGCTGTTCTCCTTCCCAAATCTTCTAAAGACTTCTTCCCACATATCTCTTGCCTGCATTCCTTGGCTGTAAATCTTATTTGGAATACCATCAACAGTCAGCTTAACATCAGTGATGTTGGGATTAAACGTCTTTTCACTATTTCTTGTTCCTGCTGTGTATGTCTCATAAAAGAGAAGAAGAAGCCCCTTCATAGACCTCCTTGGAACATTGATGCTCTCATTGATGATTGTGTCGGAACCTTTATCTATTGAGATTGTCTTGAGATGAGTGATATGCTCGTACATGAATCTCTTTCCATTTTTGTAGTTAGAAAGGGCTTCATCAGCGAGTTTTTGGCTGTGAATGACTTCATACTCAAGCTGGATGTCAGTCAATTTATAATAAAGTTTTGTTGGGTCGGATCCCTTCACAACACTACCAGCAGGTGCAAGCCTGAGCTCGAAGAGAAGCTCATCAGAAAGAGCTCTCGGAAAAAAGGCTCCATGATCTTTCAAAATATCATGATCCAAT